ACTTCTCTCTCTCTCTCGCTTCCTCTCCAAAATCAATAAAAAATATATTTAAAAAACAAAACAAGACAAAAACCTAAGTTCTAGTCATTCCACTTCTAGTTCTGTGGCCTAGAAGGAATTACTTAACATTTGTAACGTCTCAGTTTTATCTGCTGTGTAATAAAGGTAATAGGTAAATGTAAATGACGTTGTTGTGAGAGTTAAAAGAGATGATGCACGTGAAGTGATTGGCCCAGCACCCGGCATATAGTAAACACTCAATCAATAATATCAGCGATTGATTTTCCACCCTTTTCATCTCATGGCACCCATTAAATTCTGGGGCACACCAACAAATTTATTTTTATGCCGACCTTACAAAGATAGCTATCATTTCTATTTGTTTACACACTGGATGGCTCTTATTGGGTTAGCAGATCAATATACTTTGATTTTAGACTGAGTAGCTTGGCGAGTAACTTGCCCACGAATCACCAAGGAGCTGGGGTGCTGCCAGTCCGCCTTGCAGCCTAAGAACAGACTGTATTTACCTTCACCGTCTTTTATTGTCCTCACTAGCACGAGGCCTGTGAGAAAAAGCGCCGTTCCAGCACATCTGCGTGTCTAATAACGTAGCAAAATGCATTATTCATTGGCAGCAGCAAGACGGGGCTATAATCCTGTCTAGAAGTCACAGTATCCAGCAGATTTTCCCACCTCTTTCTGTAAACCATTCCTTTTAAAGTATACGTTTCAAACCAAGTATGTTTATAGAGCTGGCATCTCCCTGGCTTGCGTTGCAAAGTTTCCTTTCCTTATTAAGGGTGGGAGCTCTCAAATGAAGGTGTTTGTCACCCTAAGTGGGGTTTGTTTACTATGTTAGGGCTCTGGCCGGGGCTTCTCTATTCAGGTCTCCTTTGTCCTGTCTAGCAGCTGACGTCCAAGGCTGCTGCTCCCCTCAGTTCGCTCCTTCTTCTGTTTCCCCCAAAGCATTTCACGTTATTTTTCTTATATTTTAACTACTGCCTTCATCCATGTTGATACTCAGAGCCATTACTCTCTAAAGCAGGGGTCCTCAAACTATGGCCCGCGGGCCACATGCAAATACAAATATTGTATTTGTTTCCATTTTGTTTTTTTACTTCAAAATAAGATATGTGCAGTGTGCATAGGAATTTGTTCATAGTTGTTTTAATTTTAAACTAAGTCCGGCCCTCACTGTCTGAGGGACAGTGAACTGGCCCCCTGTTTAAAAAGTTTGAGGACCCCTGCTCTAAAGGCACGTGTCCCCTCTTAAAAACGACCTTCTAGGACAGTGATGGCGAACGTATGACACCCGTGTCAGAGGTGACACGCAAACTCATTTTTTTGGTTGATTTTTCTTTGTTAAATGGCATTTAAATATATAAAATAAATATAAAAAATATAAGTCTTTGTTTTACTATGGTTGCAAATATCAAAAAATTTCTATATGTGACACGGCACCAGAGTTAAGTTAGGGTTTTTCAAAATGCTGGCACGCCAAGCTCAAAAGGTTCGCCATCACTGCTCTAGGATCTGCCAGGAAGGGCGATCTGTCCATCAACTCACTCAGTTCGCGTAGCATCTGCAGGGCAGTCTCTCTGACCCCCCCGCGGCCAGGTTTGGGTTCCTATCCTTGAATCTCAAGGCTGGACCACTGACTGGCTGGTGGATGTAGCTTCGAACACCCTACTCATTGCATCTGACCACTCCCTGCCTCTTTGCCTCAGGGCTAACCATGCATCCCAGTTTCAGGCGCAAGAGGAATACTGCACATGAGTTATTTTCATGAACTACGAGGACTTTATAAGTTGTTCTTCCGAAGGCGTTCTGCCCATACACTTAAAATGTGAAAATGCTACTGGTGTCAAATCCTTTTCACCAACCTACTTCTTAAATCCTTAGGAGAGTGGTCGGGGCCCCCCCTCCCCTTTGGCTTTCTGTTAACATCATGGGGAGATTTCAATAAGCAATTTGCCTCCTTATCAAACAAATACCTACGTGGCACCTGGTGATGGCCGGTTACCCTAACATCATTGTTCTCTCAGCTCATTTTCCTATGCCGCCCTCTATGCGCGCGTTCCGTTTCCCCGGGCCTTGCAGCAGGTAGAGTTAGCATGAGTGTCTCATTTCTTGCTTAGAACTTGGATTCAGAGAGTTTATCGACTGTGACCAGCGGTGGGAAACTCAGGTCCTCCCGCGGAGGGAGATATTTTTGTGCAGCGGGATCTTATGATTTCCTTCACGTCACACCCTATTATGCCTTTGAAGAAAGCGTTGTGTATTTCTTTTCTGTTATCTTTCTTCCAAAACGGGTAGAACCCCCTTTTGCACTCAATGAGGTGATGGTGTGACTGATGAATTATAAATAGGAAAGTGTTCATCTCTGCCAAGAGACGTGAATCCGAATTGTGCAAATCTCCGTCACTATCTCCTTTTGAAGATAAGACTAGTTTTATGTGGCGACAATGAAGGCTTATCGGGTACATCTCCAGAGTTTGAAAATATGTATCTAAAAATAGATGAGAGTGATGAATACATCCAGGTTCTGATATCAGGAAACTAACAGTATGTTTTTAATGCATTAATCTCACAGTACTAAGGGGTAAACAAGTATCATGTAAAACTGTGTTAAACTTGTAGCCATTTGATAAATATCAATTTTTGAATTGTTAGAATAACGCATTTATTAATGAAAAAATATCCTATGAAAAATAAACAGGACTTGGGGTATTGTTAAGTTTGAATGATTGAAAACCAGTTTGTCTATCAGTGACCTGAAGCTCACCCTTCCACGTAGAATTCTTGAACAGATAGCACTTTCACTTGAAATTCTCTGTTCTCCAGTGAAAGCATGACAGAACTCTCTTAGTCAGTGTCAAATGCAAAACAGAAAGTTCATTATCCACTTTGTCACGATAACCTCAATTTTCAGAGAAATTACTCTTCAGAATGAGTCTAAGCTGAAGAACATGATGAATGCATTAGCAATGGGATGTGATTAAAAACACATGCTGCATGTGACTCACACAGACCACAGGTACCACCTCCTTATTTCACAGATGGGGAAACTGAGGCTTCCTGGGACCAAGGGTGCAAGGACATTGGGTGGGTGGACAGGCACCCATCCAATGGCTCTGTTCCTCGGTCGACAGAGTTTTGTTTCACGCCACTGCCTGGCACCTTGTTTACCCAACATGAGGCGAAGGCCCTCTGAGAGCCGAGCAGAGGGTCTGTATTTGGGTGGTAAGCTCAGCACAGAAGCCAAACAATATTCTGGACTTTTCCTGTATTGGAGTACAAGGGGGGAAATAAGTAGTAAAGCAAGTTGGCCATTCTAATTCCATTCATTAGTTGTATCGGTGGCCAAATGTATTTGTTTTTAAAAAAATATTTTTTTTATTGATTTCAGAGAGAAGAAGGAAGAGGTAAAGAGATAGAAACATCAATGATGGGAGAAAATCATTGATCAGCTGCCTCCTGTACGCCCCCTACTGGGGATCAAGTGCCCTGACCAGGAATCAAACTGTTTCGTCCTGGTTTATACGTCAAAGCTCAACCACTCATAACGACTCATAACACAATTGATTATACTGTGGGTACTAAGTTTATCCATTAATTAACTGAGCCATACCAGCCAGGCCCAACAACAATTTTCTCTTGCACAGCTAATTCTCTTTCTCAGAATGAGCCCCCAAAAATGCATTCAGTGTTAGAATAATCCTCTGCTTCAGGAGAATTCCATTTTTTTTTTTCATGTGCTATCGCATGGGTTTCTAGGCATTTTATAATAGTCATGCTAATGCAGTCAAATTTGAGACCCAAGAAACACATTTCATGGTAAAACTAAAGATCTTGAGTCAGATTTTCCTGCAGTTAATTTTTTGGGAAAACGACTCGATATATTTTCTAGGTATTTTATTCATTAAAAGCAGAGACTATTGGTTCATGTGTATGAAGTATTTGTCCTGTGCTATGTGCTGAATGTATGGAAACAGACATGAGTTCTTTCCTCTGGAATCTTCTGACAGATTCTAAGCTGCTATGATAGGACAGATTAAAAAACCTTTTAGTGGAAAAATAACTTTATTGTCTTTGGAAAAAAAACCCACATGTTTATAACTTTTAAATTTATATTTGGATTTACTGATTATCAGGCCCATGATGAATTCACTTTGTGAAGAATAAAATATCTGAAAGTATAGGAACCAAATTTTCTACCCTTATACTAATAAAACTACAGGAGGACATTAATACATTTTTAACAGCTTCGAATCATCAGGAATTTTTCACATGTAGAAGATATACGCAACATAGAAATTCAGTTATAAACATAATAGTAGGAAAATTTTATAGGTCAAACATTTCTCAAGAATCCATCTTTAAAAAATATTTGTATTGCTTTTTAGAGAGAGAGGAAGGGACAGGGACAGAAAAATAGAAACATCAGTGTGAGAGAGAAACATTGATTGGCTGCCTCCTGCACTCACCCTACCAGGGATTGAGCCCACAACCCGGGCATGTGCCCTGACCAGGAATTGAACCAGCAACTTACGGTGCGCAGGACGATGCCCAACCGAGCCACACCAGCCAGGGAAAGAACCCATCTTTTTGGTATCACTCATGGCATAACACAATGGATTGTACTGTGGGTACTAAATTTATCTATTAATTAACATTATTAAGAGCACTCTATCAAAATGTTACATTCTGCTAGAGCAGCGGTTCTCAACCTGTGGGTCGCGACCCCTTTGGGGGCCGAACAACCCTTTCACAGGGGAAAACACATATATAATTACATATTGTTTTTGTGATTAATCACTATGCTTTAATTACATTCAATTTGTCACAATGAAAATACATCCTGCCTATCAGATATTTGCATTACGATTCATAACAGTAGCAAAATGACAGTTATGAAGTAGCAACGAAAATAATTTTACGGTTGGGGGTCACCACAACATGAGGAACTGAATTAAAGGGTTGCGGCATTAGGAAGGTTGAGAACCACTGTGCTAGAGACACAACTTCCATAGCTACAGCCTTTGAAGGACTAATCTGTACATTGTGACAAAATTTCATTGATAAGAAAACTTCTATCAGTTGATGACCACAGTAAAAACGTTAATAATGTTGGCGTTGTGAAGAAAGACTGTCCTTTTTCAGAGCACTCCTTAGGTATGCTATAAATTGTATTAGTCATGTGATCAGAGTTCTCCAGTCCATCCCTTCAGAGATCTGTTTCCCTTCGGGAACGAGAACTCAATTTATAGTTCCTTTCCTTGAACTTTATTCCTACTGTTTTTCATTGTGTGTGTGTGTAAGTTAGAAGAACAAAGCCAATACTTTGAATAGACTGCCTTCAGTTTAAGCTTCTGAGTGGTCGTCAGGAATTGTCATTGGGCTGAATAGTCTTCAGAAGTTTCTGGTACATCTCCGATTTGAGAAACCTGGGGTATGAGTCTCTCTCCATGTGCGTATACACGATTTTTTGAGCCTCTTCAAAGCACGTTGGAGTGGGTTCTTGAATATTCCTGATGATGGTTTCTCTTGTCGAACTGTCAATGTTAATCTGAAAAGTGAAATTGCAGCAGTGCGCCGGGTTAAAGGTGAAAATATAATGCAAGGGTTTAATGCATCCCCCCCCTCCCCCTGTTCAGTGGACTAGGGTTATTTTGTTTGCTGTCTCATTGGTATCTCAAAAGACATAGGAGGTAAACTCTTGGCTTCTTTAAAAGTAAACATCCACCTCCATATCCCAGATAAAAATAACACGCGCCCCAAAGACCGGGAAATCGCAGAAACCATTGCTTACTTGGGGAGGGTGCAAGTGGTTTGTTGGTGGAGTCTACAAACAAGGAAGTTTACCTGAGGAAGAAAGGGAAGTTGGTGCTATTTTAAACTTGGCCTTCCGTAATAGGCACGGATGTTGATTTCATGGACTGTGCCCCGAAATGGGAAGAAGGTGAAGAGAAGTGGAGAAATAGAGAAGTGGTCACTTCAGTAAGCCAAGTATTTTCCAGACGAGAGCTTTGAGGAACAGGTCCTCCAAAGTAGGGCTGTCCTGGGTGAGAGGAATCTCATCTACCACCCTCCCCCCTGATCAGAATTCTCGTTCCCCCTCGTCTCCCCACCAGGAGGAGTCTCAGTGTGTCTATTTCCCTCATGACTCTGTTTTCTGCAGGCAGAGGTGCATGATGGGAAGTGATATCAATGTGAGCATTTGCTGGCTTTGCTGGTTTTCAACTCAGGCGAGCGGGGCTGCTGTGGGGGCACAGACTTTGCCCAGCACCACCAGGGATGTCAACCTGCCTATTGATGGTAACCGTAGTTCCTTCTAGCAAAGCCAGTTCTTCTTTGTAAATCGCTCTACTAGGGAATGAAAATCATTTAATAAGAAGAGGCCTGGGAGCTACCTTGACCTCACTTTGAATCCTGATTTCTCCCCTTTAGCAATGTGTGGGTCACTGGGCAAGTTAGTGCACTTCTCTGCCTCTCAGGATTCTTATCTGTAAAATGAGGTGGACAGCCCTGACTTCACAGCATCCTTGGAGGTGAGGAGCCCGGCACCGCTGTGTGCCCGGGCAGCAGACATGAACACCCTGATTGCCGTTCAGGGTCACGATTGGCTGGGTACCTCTCTAGGGGACTGTGGCTGGATGTAGATCTTGTAAAGCTTCTTCGCCCGAGAGATTCTACCCCATCGTGAGGCGATTTTCTTGTAGGTCTCACAATCCATCCAGAATTGGATGTTCTCGTCACTATGCTCCAGCTTCAGGTATGCCGCGTAGACTACCGGCCCATCTGAAAGCAATGGAGACATCACTTATTTTCCGGGGTCAAAGTCATTAACAACTCTGAGAAACAGATAATGCATTTAAAAACCAAGTCTGGTCCAGCCGGCGTGGCTCAGTGGTTGAGTGTCGACCTACGAAGGTTACAGTTAGATTCCCGGTCAGGGCACATGCCCAGGTTGTGGACTCCATCCCCAGTAGGGGGCGTGCACTAGGCAGCCGAACAATGATTTTGTCTCAACCATAGATGCTTCTATCTCTCTCCCCCTCTCCCTTCCTCTCAGATATAGCAGGTGGTGCTCCTGGTGAAGAAATAGCTGAATGGATAGGCAAACCATTTCTGGCTTAACATGTGAAGCTGGGAGCCCATAATTTCCACTGTGTATCGGAAGAAACAGAGTTCTATGTTAACAAACAAAAAGCAACTTGATCTATTTTGTACTCAGAGGAATTTTGACTGTTTCATCAGGAATGGGAAATAAGGAGAAATGGAGAAATGAGCTATGAAAGAGGGGAAAAAAATGAGATACCAGATAAAATCTGCAGATCCTGGAATGAGAGTTAACCAGCTACTTGGATGGTTTGAGTGGATGAGTGGGTGGGTAGGGAGGGGATTTGGAAACCAATGATTTTGTATCCCAAATTTGCGTTTATATTCGTGTTTAGCTTAATTGTATAGTAGAATGTTGAGAGAGGTTCATTCCAGAACCTGCCTGCCAATTACTGGGATGCTGATGCCGTGTGTGACTATATGATAGCCTAGTGAAAGCTGACGTGGACAGGAACCTGTTTGATATTTCAGGTCTGATTGCGGCATGTTCTACAGCAGTGATGGCGAACCTATGACACGCGTGTCAGAGGTGACACGTGAACTCATTTTTTTTGGTTGATTTTTCTTTGTTAAATGGCATTTAAATATATAAAATAAATATCAAAAATATAAGTCTTTGTTTTACTATGGTTGCAAATACCAAAAAATTTCTATATGTGACACGGCACCAGAGTTAAGTTAGTGTTTTTCAAAATGCTGACACGCCGAGCTCAAAAGGTTCGCCATCACTGTGCTACAGAATCCCGTCTTCATTAGATTCAAGTGTACACGTTACCCCGGTGAGCGCCCGAAAACCCAAATGTATCAAAGTGTTCCAGGAACCTGAGTGATTCTTAAAGTCAGCAGGGAATGGCTCAGCCTAGTGTTTCTATTGACTCACACAAATGAGTTACAAGCCTTTTCCAAGTCCGGCCACGGAGCCCTCTCTGACCTTTTCAAAGCTCTTCCTTCAAAGCTCAAGAGACTGTGGGTGATGCTGCTTGAGACAGTGAGTGGGCATCAGCACAGACCCGGCCATTAAACCGAGAAGAGGGAGGAAGAGGTCTGTGTCACGCACCGTGTACGCCTTTTTCTTGAAAACCACCGCGGTGCGTGGGGACCCTCTCGCGTGTTCTTTATAAAGCAGTCGCTGACACGGGTGTTTCGATGACACGCGAGGTGACACATGCCGGGACTTCGATGCCGGCGGGGGACCTGACACTGCTCTGGGCTGACTCAGGACAGTGGCCCCTGTTCTTCCAGGGCTGCTTTCGGCTGGGCTGTCAAGCTCACCCCATCATTGAATCCTCAAGGTGGCCTGTGCCTCGGTCTTCCGTCAGAAATGTGTCTAAAGTAGTTTTAAATCCCTTTTATTTTCCGTCGGCACCATCGGGGATAATGAATTCCACAATGCTACCAGCTTCTGTGTGACGTTTTTATAGCAAGTCGGTTTAATTGAAATTCTCCGGGTTGGCTTCTGTGATATTAATCGTTTCTGGCCTTTTCTCCTCACGTCTCTTTGTTCTGTTTTGATAAAAGTAGCTCAAAGTACTGTGGGTTGTTTTTAAATACAGAAAACTTCTAAAAGATAACCACCATTAACAATTTTTTATTTCCTTCTATTCTATGAAGCGAGAATTCTCGTGATCCATCTGCAATGTGTGAAGTTACAGATTATCCTACATTCAACATATTGGTTCATACATCTTTGCATCTCTAATTATTTCCTTAAGATGCCTTTAAAGGAGCTTAGGTATCTCAGTTTCTGGAAAAATTACTCTGAACTTGCCATGTCCCTATCAGTTGACACAGAGCACCTAGTACACACTTCCTTTGATTACGTTTCACTCTGTACTGCAGTCTACTGTACTTACTGGCTTACGTCCATCACTCCCCCCCTCACCTGCACACCCTCTCCTGCACACCCTCGCCTGCACACTCACCTGCACACTCTCGCCTGCACACCCTCACCTGCACCCTTTCCTGCACACCCTCACCTGCACATCCTCGCCTGCACACCCTCTGGGAACTGGGGCTGCACTTTCTTCATGGGCAGATGCCCAGAGCCCACACACTGCCCGACACACACACAGCAGGTACCCAATCAGAGAATAAATGCCTGTCATTCCGGCCCCTGTGTCCCTCCTGCTTCTCTCTTCTAAAATGACTTGCATAGGTTTTGAAAAGTGAAGCAGAGCCTAATTATTCAGCATCCAGGAAAAGCACCAAAGACCAGAGGATTATTATACTTGGCACTGGCTTAGTTGTTGGTTTTCTGAGAGTGAGACAAAAAAAAAAAAAAAAGGTACTCATGGAACAGTGGTGTCTCCGTTGTTTTCTTTTGTTCCCCGCAAGGGGACAGAGAGCATGAGAAATGAGCGGAGACGAAGGTGCTAAGTGGGAAAAGCTGAGGCAGGGCTGTGGCTAATTGGAGGGTTGGGGGAGGAAACCATGGCAACAGCCGGGATGAGCGGGGAGCTGCCAATCAACATGGCAGCAGCACGATCTCTCCCCAGGGGAAGGGAGCCGGGAGGGGGCTCTGCCTCCGCATCCGGATGCACACGAGGGGACCACAGTGTCTCTCGGTGACGCTGAATGTCCACCATAAGGAGGAAGGTGCCCAGGCCAGCCGAGGCCGTCCCCTGGCGTGAACAGCACCCGGCAGTGTGACGATCCTACACGTGTCAGCCGAGGATGGCCACGGCTGTCTGCAGGGGCTGTGATAACTGAGAAAGGGGGAAAGGGTACCATCTGGTCGGCAAACTCATTAGTCAACAGAACCAAATATCAACAGTACAACGATTGAAATTTCTTTTGAGAGCCAAATTTTTTAAACTTAAACTATATGGGTAGGTACATTGTTATTAACTTAATTAGGGTCCTCCTAAGGCTTAGGAAGAGCCACACTTAAGGGGCCAAAGAGCCGCATGTGGCTCGCGAGCCGCAGTTTGCCGACCACGGCTCTAAGGTCATTCCTGTCGCCTAGAAGGCCCCAGGCTCCCGCAGGCCCCAGGCTCCCGCAGGCCCCAGGCTCTCGCAGGCCCCAGGCTCTCGCAGGCCCCAGGCTCCCGCAGGCAGGTTATTCCAAGACACCTCACGGACAGCTCGGGGCTTTTGGATCTGCGTTCTCCGCTGCTCGGCCTCTGGTCCAGGCCCCAGCGTGGCCGGCTGCTTCTCCTCATTCAGCGCTTAGCTCACATTTTGTCCCTCCTGACAGTTCTCTACTCCTCCAGCTGGATTGCCCTCTGATGCCCGCCTTTCTTTGTCCTGTAGCCTGACTTTACTTTGTCCAAGGCGCTGGCCACTTTCTGGAATTAATTACTTAGCTCATTTGCTTGGTTGTCTGTCTCCTCCCTCTTGGGGGAGCCCAGGAGCTGAGCACAGTGACCTTGGCCTTGTTCACCCCAGTCTCCCCGGGGCCTGGCGGGCCTGGCGGGTCTGCTGGACACAGGGCCGGCTGGATGAGTCATCCAAGGGCGTGCCTTATAGCTTTACTAAACTTCTTGTTGTTTATATTAAACACACTTTGCTCAGATATCAGTGGGCGACCTCTATTCTCATCTTGTGAGATTTTGGTTAATCAGTATATGTAGGAGCCTTCTTTCTCTCTTTCTGCCTGACGTTATAGATTGGGATTTGAATTATTTGTCAGTCTTGACGTTTCCAGTATGAGGAACCCTTTTGTTTTCCGGGATGGTTGGCCCCTCCTTGTCATTTCAAAGGCATATTTCCGTGTCTTTCCTCGTCCTACTGGGCTTAGCCATCAGAAATACCCCTAGGATTTCCTCCCCATATTTCTTCTTGGTGGACACCTAGCACCGTGATGGTATTTTTGGGCCCTGTTTGGTGTTTCACCATCATTCCAGGAAAAGTCTTCAGTAATCCTCATATATTTTTTTTGTGAAGAGATGACTAATAGCTCAGACTATTTTTTTTTTTCAGGATTCATTTAAAAACTTACTACGACTTCTGTGTTCATTTGAAGACAGTTCTTCCCTAAAACCTTTGATGTTTGGGAGCTTGGAGTATTTCCTGTCACCTGCAGACTTGAAAATTTCACAGGGTACTTTCTGCTTAATTAATTGTGGAGGTTTTTCTTTATGAGACCAGTTTTCACACCCAATCCCTAGGATTCCTGCACAGAATGGACAGTTGACGTTGCTAAGAGGTACCCCAAATGCACTGACTGCCCACATGGGTGCATGTAGGTCTTCGTATTTCTTGCCTTGAGCCCAAGACTTTATCGCCCTTCTATCCACCGCTGTTATCTTGCATTTATACCCTCCGGATGCTGAGACTTATACAGAACCCGTATAAGGCTCACTTCACTGAGACACTGATCCAGTGAAGAAATGAGCTCTGAGGCGTTTTAGCACATCACGACTCAAATGTATTCCCATTTTTGAAGGCACGAAGAAAAGCAAGTTGTTAATTAAAAAAAAAAAAATTCTAACTTTAGCCGGCGATGGTGAGGCAGCGTATTTCAGCGTGTTACTATTTAAGCATATTTTCCAAGGGATTTTACACATAGACTTGTGAGGCATAAATATTCACAGTGACTAATCTTGTTGTAATTAACGCCCAAGGAAATCATGGTGGTTGACAGGACAGACTATTTTCAGGGTTTCCTTTTTTAACTGTGGCTGTTGCCATGTAGAAGGCGGGGAGAAGAGGGCCTACAGTCATCATCCAGGGTCCTTTCCCCCTAAAAATGAAACCGACGGATTAGTCCAAGATGACATAGACGTGATACTCACATTTTGTCGCCATCAGCTTCTCGAAAGACTGGGCCCACTGTGACACCTCCTCCGAAGTAAGGCTTTGAAAAGAAGCAAGAGGTGCTCATTGCACTAAAATATTCTCAAGGTTTGATACTACAGTGGGGCCTTGACTTACGAGTGTCCCGACTAACGAGTTTTTCGAGATACGAGCCGTCTCTCGGCTGATTTTTTGCTTTGAGTTGCGAGCTAAAATTCGGGTTACGAGCCAGCTTCAGATACCCCACCGCTAGTTGGCGCAGCGAACGTCACAGTGAACGCCATAACATCAGCCCAGCATCACGTGTCTCACTCCTTCACTGTTGATTTGACATACGAATAATTTGAGTTATCACGGAATGAATTAAACTCGTAAGTCAAGGCCCCACTGTATCTTGAAAGTAACACCAAAATATAGTCACACGGCACCTGTGTGAGGTTTTGGATGGGAGTTTTACCTTCCTGTGATCTTTTCCATTTCATTTTTACTTCCTAAACGCTTAAAGTTGTAAGAATTATAAAGGCATTATGAAGCTGAAAATGTGATGAAATACATTTTCAAAATGATAAAGAATTATGTATAATAATAAAAGTATAATATGATGCTAATTAGACTGGACATCCTTCCAGACGTCCTTCCGGACACCCTTCCAGATGAAACTGGGGCTGTGAGGGAAGCCCAGGCCCCGGGTACAGAGGGAAGCCGGTGCCTGCTGCCGGGGGAAGGAAGGCCTACTCTTGCACAAAATTGTGCATTGGGCCTGTAGTAGTCCTGTAAGATCCCTGTTCCCAAATTACCACTATCAGTATTTTGATTTATTTCTTTTTAGTCTTTTTGTTGTGTGTGTGTTTTTAACCAAGAAGTAATCATACTCTGCTTGTGTGTTTGTGTTTGTGTACACCTTATGTGTATGTGTGTGTTTCCTTACATATATAGGGTGTGCCAAAAATGTATGCACACATTGAATAATTATTAATTCCAATGGGTTAAATCTGAAAAGAAAGAAACATCAATTGAGCTAACAGAAAAAAGTGTGTATACATTTTTTGGGACTATATATATATATATATAGAGAGAGAGAGAGAGAGAGAGAGAGAGAGAGGCCTGATGCACAAAATTTGTGCAAGAGTAGGCCTCCCTTCCCCGGCTGCCGGCACCGGCTTCTCTCTGGCACCCGGGACCCTGGCTTCATCCAGAAGGATATCCAGAATGATGCCCACAGTAATTAGCATATTGCCCTTTTATTATTATAGATATATATATTTATAATGACCTTTTTATATGTCTTCACAGTTGTCTTAACCATTTGTAGTGTTGTAATTTATAATCTTTTATATTCCCTACCATTTATCATGATTAAGGAGTATTCTACAAGGGGCATTTCATAGCTTACATAATTATTTCCAGTGAGCAGTTTGATGATTTCCCACTTTCACCCTTAAAACCCACCGCGGCCCAACTGTGAGAAAGGCTTGCCATGTCCTCACAGGTAGAGTAACTCCTTACAGCGGTTCTCAACCTGTGGGTCGCGACCCCTTTGGCGGTCGAACGACCCTTTCACAGGGGTCCCCTAAGACCATCCTGCATATCAGATATTTACATGACGATTCATAACAGTAGCAACATGACAGTTATGAATAGCAATGAAAATAATTTTATGGTTGGGTCACAACATGAGGAACTGTATTTAAAGGGCCAGAACGTTGAGAACCACTGCCTTAGGACATTAGCAGGAGTGGGATCCAGTGGGCCGAAAGGTGCACCTTTTTTAGGGTCTCAGTACAAATTGCCAAAGTGCTTGTAAAGGGTTAGGCATTGTATGCAGCAACGTGTCTGCCTGCTTATCTAATAGAATCTTAGTTTATCCATGTACCCTATTTCATTGCATTCAGATAATAAAGTTATGTATAGCTATATTGTCTATTACTTGCTATAATTTTTACATGTTGAGGGGTTTAATTTTATTGCTGCGAATAACATGTCAAGTTACATTTCACTTAAACAGTATTTAAAAAAACCGTTTACCATTTAGAAAGTGTCCGTGAAAGATGCTGACTTGAAGGCTTTCTTTCTGTTCGTTTTGGGGGGCTTTTGAGGTGAATTGGCAATGCTTCCACATTAATCATCTTAGTTTCCCGATGTTAAAATACTCAGTGTGCTCATTGCCATTGAGCTTATGACCCATTCCTAAGGTCCCCGTTTTTAGTAGCTGCATCTCCCGAAAGACAGCTGTGGACACAAGCTCCCACTGTTCCCCGGACTAATTCTGGCCCCATTAGCCCCGTAATGAGTACTGATGGAACAGCCAGTGGCATTAGCAGGTACCTGATACCATGAAGGGAGATTAGGTAAAGAGGTTAAAAAATAACCTAGAACATGGAAAACTATTGGGAGTCCTTAAAAAAAAAAAAAGGTCAAATATATTTTGTTTTCTAAAATTTGAGGCGCCTCTCGCCGGTATTAGATGGACTGTTTGCATCAGCACGGAGGCTTAGCAGTGCACTGCTGCGAAGATTGCTTTAAAAGCCACCTTTCCATGAAATGGTATCTGACTCACTGTTCTTTTCTCTTATTAGAACTTGAGAGAAGCAGTTGCCTAAAACAACCCTGCCAGCCTGGTGAGGCGGGCCAGCGCTGGGCTGGGTGTGCTGCCTTCTCCCCATTCTCCCCATCCCCCTCACTGAGGAGGGAATGAGACCTACAGCATGGGCTCACCCGCCATCACCGTCATGGTTTAGCTTAAGATTTGGTGTTGCTAATAGTTGGACCGAAGAAGTCTTTGGCCTCTCAGATTCCTGAGATTTATGGGGATAGGAGACTATAGTTGCAGACATTATGGTTGGGGATAAAACTGTGGAATGACATCTCTTTTTGGTTTAAACCCATTTTTTTGCTTGTAAGTTTTTCTTAGTATCTCACAAGTTCTACCCTGTCCCACGGCCATCTGGGCGTCCTCATCAGAACTGTTCTAAACACCTTTGCCTCTTCCACCCACCCTGATTTTTAAATCCTCACCCCAGGATATTTTCCCCCATTGATTTTTTAGAGAGAGTGGGAAGGAGGGATGGAGGGAGGAGAGAGGGAGGACAAGAGAAAGAGAGAGAGAGAGAGAGAGAGAGAGAGAGAGAGAGAGAGAGGAGAGAGAAAAATCAATGTGAGAGAGACACATCGACTGGTTCCCCGACCAGGACCAGGGATGGAGCCTGCAACTGAGGCACGTGCCCTTGACCTGAATCGAACCTGTGGCCCTTCAGTCTAGGGGGCAGTGTTCTGACCACTGAGCAAAACCGGCTAGAGCACCCACTCAGATTTTTAAAGTAAAGTTCTCCTCTTTTGTGTCCCTCCTGCTCCCTTTCTTCTGGACAGATAGGCTGCCCCCCCCCCCCTCCCCCCCCTGAGTCAAGCAGACTTGGGAGCTTGGTAAGCATTGGTTTCACTCCTAGTCTCCCCTCTTCCACCCGGGGATGAAGATTTTCAGAACTCTGCTGGTGGAGGATTTGAGCCAGGAACATTTGGGATCAAATAAACTTCATTTTAAGATACTATAAAACTTAAAAAAAAATCTAAGAATGTTTACTCATAATAGACTCCCTGAAAACATCTAACTTGCTGAATTCTCAAGTATGAACCACGAATAACGAAAACAGGACCATGTGTAATAGATGATTGGCCTCTGGGGGAATCACTCGTGCGTGAATGCAGATTTTACTTTCTGAGCAAACTGTGTTAAGAGGGCAGTTGAAGGCACAGACCCCCAGTGAAATGGTTTAGCATGGCCATCGAACGTAACGGCTTACTTACTTTGAAGGGGGCCTCTTGGACGCAGCTCTGCACATTGTACACACCCAGCAAGTCCGCCTGCTCATTTTTCTGAAGGAATACAGCATCCACTGAGTATAATTCAGTCATTTAAAATAATTACATGTTAAGAGTGCATTTCTAAAGAGCACACAGAGAGAGCACGTTTGAAGTTAATGGACTACAGTCACTGGTCAGGGGTGAGGATGACAGGAGAATAAAAGGACTCATAACTATTTTAGGGGAATGCAGGTACTTTGAGTTGTGACTTTAGGACTCATCTGGCCCACCTTTCCGTCACTCGCCGAGCTTGGAGTCTTCCTGCCTCCTCCGCCCACACACGACAGCTTGCAAACATTTGGGGGCATTTTGCTGCTTCGGGGCATGAGCATGCTTGCCGGGAGCCGTGGCCAGAACCGAGGTCTCCATGTGGGCTAGGTTAGGCCCAACAGGGACCCTCCACCCAGGCCTTCTCTGAGCTGAGCAGATCCAATCACATGGTTTGCTACCTTTATCAGGCCTTACACTTCCCATGTTGAT